TAATTTTAATCCTTTATAGACCGTAAAAAACTGTTTACCGTTTTCTTTTTTTTAAACTCATCATGCGAGCAATCGAGGTTGATTCTGAAGTTTTCAAGGAAAATCTAAAATCTTTTATAAATTTTTCATAAAATGCTCTACCAGCTTTTTTCCTATTTATGTTGAATCGATGTGCGATCCCATGATTTTCTGCGTAGTCAAAAACAATTGAAGAAAACGGTTTTTTTGTTAAACCAAATGCCCTTTTATTTAATAATTGATTATCAGTAAAAGTTGGCTTGAAGCGACCAGCATTTTGTGGAAACTTCTGGAAATAAAAACCTAGTTGGTTTGTCTTTTAAAGAGATTTTGATTTCTTAGAGTCAATTTATATTTTCCAAAAATCTAAATTTTCTTTTCATATAGGTACAGTAAACGCCAAATCTAAAGAACCAGCGCAAATGCTCAAGTTCATTTACTTAAAAATCTCCACGCCCATTCACAATTGTACCTTGTCCTTGCTTACGGTCAGTAGCGTAACGACTAGATCATTGTTTGTTTTTTGTTTCTGTGTTTTGGTTAAAGTGACTGGTTTTATATTTGATAATGTCTTTTATTGTGGGTGAAAAAAAGGGTAGATCTATTATTAATGGACAAAGTCGTGAAGTAATATATAATGTTTTTAAATATTTTGACGCAACAAAACAGGAAGGAGTTACTTTAGCAACAGGTAAACAAACTTGCGTAGTTTTCCATATTTTTTTTTGTATTTTACACACATATCTATGCATTTTATTTTTGATTAATATTTTATATTTAAATTTTTAGAATTTATCTTCTGTTTCTAAAAATTTTCCTAATAAATGTAAAAAAAATACAAAATTTAACATTAATATAATATTACGTTTTTACAGGTGTTTCTTATACTATCGTTAAACGAATTTTGAAGGAAGGTAAACAGTCAATGGAAACAACTGGAAAAATTACATTTTCCACACCTAGGAAAACCTTCGTCAAAAAATCAACCGCTACGAATCTCCCTGAATATCAATTGAGGGACATTCGAAGAATAATTTACGATTTTCATATAACAGAAAAGTCTCGTGTTACTGTTAAAAGGTTAAATAATAAAATTAAGGAAGATTTAGATATCCACATGTTAGAAACTTCATTAAGAAGAGTCCTTAAAAAATTACAATTTAAATGGAGAAAAACACAAAATAATCGTAAATGGGATTTATCAAAAATAGTTTGTTGATATTCAAATCAGGGACCAAATCTGGAGATTATCATTCCTAAATGAATTCGGAAAATTACGGCAAATTGTTAAGAGAGAAGTTAATACCTAATCTTTCACCTAATTTAGTAATTGTTTGTGATAATGCTAGTTATCACAATGTACAGACAAATCGAGCACCTAATTCCAATTCTTTGAAGAATTATATGATCGAATGGTTGACAAAATACAACATACCTTTTAATCCAACAAGTTTGAAACCAGAGTTATATGAACTGATTAAATCTCATAAGGACCGATATGTAACATATGCATTGATGAGTTGTGTCGAGAATACGGCGACACCGCTTTACGGTTACCCCCATATCACTCCGACTTGAACCCTATCGAATTGATTTGGGCAACTGTTAAGAATAATGTCAGTCAAAGGAATATTACCTTTAAATTAGAAGACGTAAAATAATTAGCAGAAGAAGAACTTAACAAAATTGGTATGGAGGAATGGAAAAAGAGATGCGATATCATGTTATAAAGGTAGAAGAAAAATATTTTGAAAGAGAAATACAAACTGATTTATGTTCGTAAATTAATCCTATCGTCATTAATCCTAATGAGGATTGCAGTGACGACAGTGACGAGTCTTCTTCCAACGAAGACTCTGACGAAGATATATGAACATTATTTATTTTTGATTTACTATATACGTTGTTGTGGATAAAGAAGGCAATGGGCTGACTACAGTTATTGTTGATGGGGTGTGGTCGAAACGTTCATATAAAGTTAACTACAATGCTTTATCAGGAGTGGTAAGTATTTAATACCATTTCATTTTAATTTCTTGATAGTTTCGGCCTTTACTTGATGAAAATCCATATTATTAAAATGAGAAAACCAAACATGGTAGATTTTCACACTTTTATTTAAAGAAATAAAAATTAAAAATTGCACTACAATTGTTTCTAAGTACAACTTTTTCTTCAAATGTGACTCATTTACATTTCTAATATATGTATATACAAAATAAACTAATTAGTTAAAGTAGGTACTTAAGAGAAATATATTAATAAAATTCCAATAAGATATTATTACCGGGATTATCTCACAGAAAACTAAGAACAGGTAAAGAGATTTAATTAAGCTCAGTTATTAATATCCAATTGATCACTTCAAAGAATATTTTAATTTTTAAATCTATTTATTTCAAGTGTTTCTAAATGGTTTAATTTAATGCCTTCATTCTCAAAATGTGAAACAATTTTTGCATAAACGATTGATATTCAGATAAAAATATGTTTTGTAGAATTATTTTTAATTTTAGTATACCTATTGTAATGTTTTAAATTTTATATAAATAGCGAACGGAAAGCGGTAGAACAGCCTTAACCTAAAGTCGGCTTACTTAAAAATAATGATATTTTTAATTGACTATAGAATTATGTACTAATAATAACACTAAGCAATATGTATGAACAAGTATAATTCACTATTTTCCATTTATTTTATGTCTTAAAATATACGCGCCCCTGGTTTACACCTTTCTAGGTAAGCTACCAATTCTATTTATCGGTAGGCGTGATCGTAGCATTATAAATGCGTGTCCTTGGTTCCTTAGATTTGGCGTTTACTGTAAGATTGTAAGATATAGAAGACTACGTACCTCATCGCTATGTTTTCTTACATATCGTCGGAGAGTTGCTTCAGGAACTGAATAGGTTTTAGACGCTCCATTTACGCTTGAACCGTTAATAATAACTTCTCTTAATGCTTGTCTCGTGTTCCCCTTACTCCATAACTATCTATTTGTTTTTCTTGTATATTTCCCCATACTAAAATTTAAACATGTTTTAAACACATTAAGCCATGCAGCTAAGTTGGCGAATTCGTTATCTTAGCAACAACAACGATTCGTCATCTTAGAGATACAAGCACAAAAAATTTAAAAAATCTATAATTAAATTTTAACAAAATCTTATTAGTAATTGATCATGTCCTACCATAGATAATGGTTGCTATTACCAAAAAATAAAATTAAAATAAATTAATAACGTACCTTGCGAAAATTAGAGCTTATTTTGTCCCGAGCCAAAATTATAAGAAGAACCACACAAACAGTCTTTTGGATTAGTTACCCTAGGACGCCCAGTCCCACGTCTCCAGTCGATGCTGTTAGTTTCCTGGTACAAAGGCATTATCCGGATAACTGAAGCACGGGGAATCCCTAGTCTATCTGCGATTCGATGATTCGACAGACCCTCATCATGCAAATCCACTATTCTTGCTCTATTGAACACTGAAACTCTATTGCCAGGCATAGTTGCTAGGAAAAACTCAACAATAACTTAAATACTTTAAGAGTAACAAAATCGATATGAACCACTTTTTAAACAGTGGTACAAAAAATTGTGGAAATTGTTTTTGTAAACATTTTTAGATGCGTATCAACGGTAAAAAACAGCAGCCATGATAAATATTTCGTTATAATATTTATGAGGGGTCCAAGAATTTTGTCGATGTGTGTATTTCGGAAAAAATGACGTCCAAGATAGAAGCTATGTCGCGACTATAGTCAGGGCCACCGAGAGCCAGACCGGGCCCCAGGATAATTCTCCAGATCGGGCTCCGTGACAATTTTATAAAAAATTAAATAACAAAAGGGTCTTCAAGCTAATTCTTTACTTGAATTTCTCTAAAAAAAAGGTCTTCGAGCAAAAATTTCTCCTCCTCTACTTGAATTTCTCTAAAAAAAAAGGTCCTCAACTAAGAACTTCCCCCTTCTTCTGTCGAACTTCTGAAAGTAACAAAAAGTAACAAATACCACCGATGCCGGGCCCTCATTTGAGTCAGAGCCCCGGGAATTAGTCCCGGATACCCCCCTCTAGTCGGCCCTGACTATAGTCGCGACCCGTTTAGGTCTACCAGCCTTGGTGGATATTTAAAAGGAAACTAATGATGTATTCCATTTAACAAAAAAAAAAACAAAAAAACAAAAAAAAACAAAAAAAAACAAAAAAAAAACAAAAAAAAAAACAAAAAAAAAAACAAAAAAAAAAAAAAAAAACAAAAAAAAAAACAAAAAAAAAAACAAAAAAAAAAACAAAAAAAAACAAAAGAAAAAACAAAAAAAATGAATTTAAAAAATATGATTTTAAAAAAAGTTGGAAAAAAAAATATAATTTACTTATATTACAAATTTTTTGTTAGTAGGAATTACATGAAAATAAAATATTGTAACATTGTAAAATCAAAATAAGGACTAAAAACGATAAAGATAGGCTAATGGATGTAAAATCCGCAGTCATAGAACCCCAAACAAGCAAGTATTTAACGGATATTCCTTATTATAATTTTTACGTACATAATTATTTTTTTACTGTTCTTTTGGTAGTTGCAAAATAAAGAGTCAATTTAAACATAAAATAACATTTTATTTTTCAATCATTATTATGTACTTATTATTAATATCATTTAACGGTTGCAAAAATACAAATAAAATTATAACAATTAATACTTTATAATAATTATATACCAATTCATACCAATGAAGATTTTTGAAATAATTTTTGAAATAATTTTAGGAAGGTTCGTTATATTTTAATCACTAACATTTTTGTATATATACATACATACAATTTTTACGATTAAAAGAAATGGGATGGGAGGTTGTGTAATCTATTTAGCCATAAAAAATGATGAAAAGGCAGTATTTAACTTGAAAGTTAAGGTGACCAGATTTTATAGTACTTAAAGCTATTTAGGCAATCAAGAATAGAAATTTAGAAACAGCTTTCAATGTCAAATGGACGATATTCTTGGAGATACAAAATTTTATATCAACCTCTTAAGATTAAGCACCATGATAAGTAGATTACAAAAAAAATGTTAATTAATATTTACAAACATGTACAAAAGTTGCTCTTTCTCTTGTTTTTGAGAAAATTTTGATCATATATAACAGACGAAATAGCCATTTGAAAAGTCGCGTCAATAAAACTCATAGTTTTTGAGGAATTTTCTATAAACCCATGTGCATTGATGTCTCTCGCTAATACTTCGCCTTCTTCGAGCCTGACGTGAGTCCTCGAATCTGTTCGCAAGTCCCTTTTTGTACCTAAAAGGAAAGAGAGATTTAAATATAAAAATCGTGAAGTGATCATAGAATGAAAAACCTAATAAAGGGACATCAATTATGTCCATAAAATTCTGCTTCCAACATTATTTATGGATACAGAAAGCTCTACTGAAAATGTTCCTAAAACTAGCAAGACTGATTTTACTGAACTACGAACACTCTATAATGAAGAATGGATGCATTGTGAACCTATACAAGAAGAAACTAAAAACCATATTTCTCCTTCTACTAGTAAGTTCAGGCTTTTGAATGAGCATTGGTGGCTTATAGATAAGTTTCTTTAATTATAGAATGTGAAGTTACCGTTCCGACGATGACTGACTTGACTACGGTAGATCCGGTAGAAATTTCAATAGAGCAAATGGTACAGGCTCGGAAGTCTGGTTTGGCCAAAGATATTGTTACGGGTCAATTATTGGGGACTGAAAGCTACAGTGTCAAAAACAATATTAATATAAACTCTTCTGATGAGGAAGACCAAGACCCATTTAATAATACATATAACCGGCGACTAGGATTGAATTCGAAAATACAAACGAACCAATTATAGGAAAGAGGAAAAGAGGTAAATTTAATAAAAGAGCTTTGGCAAAGAAGAAATACGAGTCTAAAAACCTAGGAAGAGTGAACAAGCGAAGCGTAAAGCTTCCTTGCCATAACATTTAAACACAAGCACTAAAAAAATTGATGAGCACTATTGAAAAGAGATTTTTGCAATGTTTTGGGGAATGGGATAATAACATTTAAAGACAAGCACTAAAAAAATTGATGAGCACTATTGAAAAGAGATTTTTGCAATGTTTTGGGAAATAGGAGACTTGCAAAGACAAAGAGAGTTCATAAAAGATAGTACACAGGCAGTTATCAAGTATCAGAGGATTGATTACATTGAATCCTAAAAAAGAAAGGGTCTCTAATCAATCATACTCGATAGCGAAAGAAAAAGAAATAGTATGCATTCAATTTTTAAATACACTTTTGACCTATCGGGCAGAGCTATTCGTATAACCTTTGAAAAAACAAACAGAAACGCAGGTGTGCTAAGCTTGGAAATGTGAGGCAAATATGACAAGAATCAAAAGTTGTATGAAGAATTTGTGAATAGTGTAAAGGCTAATATAGAAAAATTTCCAGAATTCTTAGTCATTACTGTAGATCTCAAAGTTTTTGGGAGTATATCGATGGTGCAAAATATGTCGCTTAACTTCACAGAGATTATCTAAAAGAAAAGAATTAGCTACTGTCAATACAAAGCTATCTTCAAGTCATAACACCTCTTTTTTTACACTGAAGAAAGATCAGTGCGATGTTTGTCTCATTAGTCAAAACACGAAACAAAATTCGACAGAATATGAGAATAATATTCCAAAAAAGGTCCAGAGTAAAAAAAAGAGAGTGGCAAGAAAACCACAGATTTTACCATCATAGCAGTATACAACCTACAGATGTCATGTCCTTAGGGGAGGGCGTCATGTCCTCAGGGGAAGGCGTCATTCTACTATTACATTTCAAAGCTAGCCCTTTACAATTTTACCATTGCTGAACCAAAGGGCGACAAAATGGTAAACTATTACACCTAAGATAAGACACAGACACAGACAAAGCGTGGTTGAGATTGAGAGCTGTGTGCTAAAATACGTGCATTGTTTAAATGACAAAGCTAACTATCCAATAGATATCTTCTTTTACAGCGATAATTGTTGCAGCCCACAACTTAAAAAAAAAAACATAAAATCGATCACACACAAATTTTTAACTAAGGGCTACACTCAAAACGAGAGGGATTCAGCTCACTCAACCATTGAAAAAAAATTAAAATAGCACTGCGAAGTGGACCGATGTACCTAATTTGCCAATATGCCGTAGCCATGAAAACGGCTAAAAAAGTGGTAAGGCCTACCTAGTTAATCAGTTGAGTCATGAGGACTTTTTTGGCATAAAAGCTCTGAAAGACTCTCAAGTTATTTTACCCATTTCGGACATTTGAATGTTTAAAGTAATTAAAGACGACGACGAAAACTTTTAATTCAAAACATTCTATCACATGCCTGAGACGATGCGAAAAATAGGAATAAACGGGGCAATGGAAACGTGAGCTTATTTCAAGAGACTTACCATTGATGAGAAAAGGAACAAGGGTATCCTAAAGTTAGTTACCGACGGGATAATGCCTTCAATTTATTCTGATTTCTATAAAAATTTGTAAAACTACTTAGTTACCAGCAAAGGGAAGTGTAATCCATGGTAATTGTTCTTAAAAATAATTCGTGAAACAATAAATTATTTTTTCATTGACAATATTATCTTTTTTCCTAACTAAAAATAGCAGGATCCTAAAGAAGAAGCCACTGTGACACAAAATAATGCAAATAATTACAATGATTTTTAAGTCATACTGGCATATTTGCATATTTCTTTTAATTTAAATAATTTTAGATTTAATAAGCAGTAAATGTTTTTTATGGATAAGGTGTCTTTAGGTGAACTAAACGGACGTTGATAAACTTCAGAATGGAACTCTAAGTATTTTCCATGGACATGAATAAAAGGTAAAAGAACCAAATCTATTGATATGGACAAGCTTAAGGGATCAAATATTTTTACTGGAGAGACAGACAGATAAAAGGTTCATATGTGTATTTTTACATGGGCAGGCGTAATGGGTGAACATGCCAACTATTTTTGCATGTGTAAGCTTAAGAGGTAGGGGACCCAAATATTTTTATATATGCAAGTTTTAGAGGTAAAGGGGGTCAATATCTTTAGCTAAGTAGGGTTAAGGAGTAAAGGGGCCAAATAATTTTACAAGAACATATTTAAGGGATAAAGGTCCTAAAATGTCTAAATGAGCAGACTTAAGAGGAAAAGACACAATTATTTTTACATAATTTTTTTTAAGTTTAAACAATTTTCACACTCTAATCAGAACACGACATGGATGATTCTTCATAACTTCTAAGTGGTTGACCCTAAATAACGCCAACGCGTCTTTCGGTATTTCTTTTAAAATGAAATATTTTCTTATTTTATTTTATGATACAAGTGTGTCCATGTAGCCCTCAGTCTAATTAAGGTGGAAACCGCTAATTTAGCGATTAATTATTATGTTCACTCTATTATTAACGGAAGCAAAATGTTTGGAAATAAAAATAATCAGTTACGGAAATATGGAAAGAAATATGTGATGACATTAAAAATTAATTACAAAACCCTTTAAATTTCAGTAAAACCGTTTAATTAAAAAACTTTTTTATATGAAACGCTTAGGCGTATTTTAATTTAAAGGCTTCTGAGTTTTTTGTTCGGCCTTTTGTGAAAAATTACCCAATATACGGGAGTTGAAAATTAAACAATAGAGATTTACTCGTATATATTTAGAAATTCGTGGTGTGGATATTTTTATACAAAATATGCCATACAACTATTGATGGATTTATAACTCAGTAAGGGTGAAGTTATATTTTCAACTTGTTTCTTTCAAAAAAAAAATACAAAAATCTAATGGCTGCTATTTTTTTACAAAAACTAATAGACTTGCCCTATGGGTCTGGCCGTTCAATTATATGATCAAATTCCCAAAAGAAATTTTAGTTTCTTATATTTGGAAACGAAGCGTTTTCGGACATACAAAGATTGATCCCTATGCCCCGTCCCTAATCTGTTCACAATAAAAAGAATATTTTTACAATTTCTTAATTTTTTTCGACTCAATTTCTTTTAATTTCAATGCTCTTTTCCCAGCGATGCTTCAGCATTTTAAAAGCATCATGAAATACATTTTCTACAGCTTCTTGGGTCGATGGTGTAGCGGTCTAACGCGCTTATGTTTATTTATAGGCAAGTTTATGAGTCCGAGACTGCTGGGCTTCGAATCCCAGACCGGACCATGTGGATTTTTAATTAAATTGCATGGTTCGGTTTAGGATTTGATGTGTGCCGTATTAATAGAAATTCAATTTCTATTGATATGACATGCATATTATAAAATCGCCATGCATTATCGTCTCGATGATGGTGCCACGGCAAATAATAATAATAATAGCTGTCCCTTTCCCCGCACAAGCTCAGCTTTTGGGGTTTAAATTCACTCGTAAGGGGGCGAAATAGGGAGAGGATTATTATTCTTCAAACCATTTATTTACGACTAACATAATGTTGTTGTCAGTTAAAAATGATCTTTCAGTTTTGGGTACAGTCTGTAGTCGCTAGGGTCCAAATCTGGCCAATAAGATGGACGTTTGAAATCGCGCTCGATGGAACAGCACAGCTTTACGAAATTTTCCACTACTTCTCCCTTTTAACGCTTTTTGCAAATTATAAATTAATTGAAAAGTACATTGATTGTAAGTGGAATGAAAGGAAATTTACAAGTGGCTCCTGGGAAAATTCGGTTTTCCCTAACAAAAATGAAAGGATATTTGTTGCCCATATTTCCACGCAAGCCGTTTTCACTATATGAATAATTAATAGAACTAGGCTTCGGAAAACCAAATGCTTTAATGTTGCAAGTGGCTAAAGGGTTGAAATTAGGGAGTAATCTTCTAAGAAAAATCAAGATTTTTCCACACAAGCCCATCGAATGTATGAAAACGTACATCGTCACTAGTCCGAAAAACATATTTTCTTGAATTACCCGAATGTATAAGTGCATTTTGGAGTCGGAAAATTTTTCTGATAAGGCTTGTATGCGAAAATGGGGTACCTAAATCGGTCACTATCTGACGGTCTGTTATTTGTATAATAAAGAATTCCTCCAAATTTAAAATTAAATATTTTGCTTACCATAGCTATTTATAATTTAAATAAATATTTAAATATCTGAAAGTCCCCCTGAACAAAATAAATAATAAAAGGAACATATTTATTCGAAAAATATTAGAAACAAAGAATAAATCTTAAACAGATGCTGACAGAAAAATATATTAACTAAATCGAAGAGAATAAATAAATGCAAAGTGTACCAGGTAAAACTACATACCATAACTAATTATTACAATATTACATTAATTAATTAATTAATTAATTAGTAGTTCTCGCCTCATTTGGACTGAGGTATCACGGGTAAACTCGTAGCACAACAGATACGATTTGATTTTGAACGAAAGATCGAAATATATTTAGAAGTAATAAGTTGTTCAGTTTTCAGACTGAACCTGATTTTTAAAAACCATTCTTTGTTTTACCCTTTAGGTTTGGGTTTTCAAATTGTTAAAACTATTTAGGTTCTTTACTCCTCAAGTCTGTCCGTGTAAAAATATATGGACCCTTTGCCCCTTAACTCTGATTGTGTAAAAATATTTGGTATCTTTCGCCTCCTTCTTCTGTTGAAAACATTTACCTCTTAAGCCTGTCCATATATTTGAGACGTTTATCCACCCCTTAAGCCTACCAATGTATAAATGTTTGGGTCATTTACTCCTTAAACCTACCGAGGTATAAATATTTGAATCAGTTACCCCTTAAGTATGTCCATATAAAAATAATAATTGCACGCTTTACCCCCATTCTGGAGTTCGTTAAAATTAGTTCAAAATAGCTAAATAACCATTTAAATAAAGTATTTTTAAATAAGTCTAAATACTTAAAAAATTTGTTTTGACAGCAGTACAGAAAAAATATCTGCGGTTTCACAGATGACAAGTATGGCTATAGATATATCTAGTAAAATCAGTACCAGTGTTAGTGTCATAAGAAAAGTGTCATTTTAAAAACACTAATATTTAAAGCACTGAAGGTAAACCAAACAATTTCAAAATCATTAGGGGTACCTACCTACTCAGCTAGAAGACATTATCAAATTAAATTGAAATTGCAAGTCGATCAAAGGCTATCGTTCTAGAGCTATCCTGCCGACGCACATACATACATGTTCACACACAGACGTCCAGGCGATACATTTTTATTGTTTTATACGAAGCACTTTCATACTTTAATTAAGGCACCAGTTTTTATTTACATCATAATATGATACAGTAGATGCCTCTTATGTTGATATCATATCTTAAAGAACTGCAGAAGGTGTCATGCTTTTTCTGCAAATATTTCAATACTGTTCTTTACTCCAGTGGTTTTATTTTTTGGAAAATATATGACGTGTTACCACTACGTAATTAACCAACAAAATGATACTTTTACCAGGTACAACAATATTAATCTATACAGATAATATACAGTGGGACAATTTAAAAACTTACAATGGGCTATATCTCATAAACGAAAGATGTTATGAAAAAATGCTTATAAGCATTTCTACAAAATAAAGGGGAAACTAAAATGACATGTAAGAGAACTCTCCCCATCAGTCCCCTAGGTCCCACCCATCCCATATAAAAAAGTTAAATAGCTAACCCCTTCTTATGATACATCATTGGAAAGCCTATAAAAAATGCTATTCAATGGTATAAATAATAATTGTACAAATAATAATTACCAAAATTAATATCTAATAATTTTAAAAACAAACATACCCTACTTGTGATATAATGTTAAAAGCTATAAAGGCTAATAAAACCTTATTTTCAATGATAAGTGTCCGTAGGTACTTTTGTAGTTAAATAAAAACTTTAATTTGCTGTTTTTGCGAAACACGTTGTTAACATCTGTTTTTTGGGTTCTGTCGCAATCAATAATTTTTTGTTTATGTGAAACATTTAAATCTGATTTAAATGTTATTATTGTTCATCATTTGTACGATCGGTACTGTCATTCAGTTGTAGTTGTCACGATGGTTTACGCTATACTTGAACGTGGGGAGATATCTTTTATATTTGGTTCCCAAAACCAGTGTTATTTACGAATAGCTCAAATAATTTATGAGAGGCATCCAGACAAAAATATAAGTCACGTGTAGATCCGCGATTTAGTTTAGAAAAACGGGATCAGTCCAAATAAAAAAGAGATGCCCCGAGATTACTGAATAAAACAAGCCAAATTGAGATCCTGGTACAATTTGCAATACAGCCTACTACATCAACACGTCAAGTATCTGCAATGACAGGACTATCACGTGAGTCGGTTAAAAAGGTGTTGAAATTATATAAGTTTTATCGTTACAAAATGCAAATTCTTCAAGAACTAGGCGATGATCCAGATCGACGAATTGAGTTTCGTGAACTCATGACTGAAAGAATTCACGTTGAACCTAGACTTGTTTCAGTAGTGAATGTACTTTTATGCTGAATGGTAATGTAAATAAACAAAACTGTCAGTACTGGAGTGATCGATTTAGAGGTTACACACAAAATCATAAAAAACTAAATGTTTGGGCAGGGATATTAGGCGATACTTTATTAGGCCCCAGGCAATTTAAGTGGCGACATTTATCTGGATATGCTGGAAAACACCATCGAACCTTTAATTGTGCATGAATTAGCGAAACAAAGGGATGATCAAGGTAATCTAGCTCTAGACAAAGATTTTCTGCACTTCCAACAAGATGGAGCACCACATCACTGTGCAGCTGCAGTTAGGCACTGGTTGGATACTAATTATCCGAATAAATAGATTGGAAGAAGAGGTCTTATTGAGTGGCCATCGAGGTCACCAGACTTAACGCCACCCGATTTTTTTCTATGGGGTTACCTTAAGCCAGTTATTTATAAAACTGAACCTGCGTCACTTGGGGAATTGCGGGAAAGAATTACTGAAGCATGTCGCCCTATTATTAGAACATTTGTAAAAATTGGTGCAGAATTTAAAAATAGGGTGTATTATTGTTTACAAAACAACGGAACCCACTTTGAACATTTACTTTATTGACATCTTTAACAAATTTGTAGTTCATTAAAAACTTCATTAAATGTTCCTTTTAATACAACGTTTTACAATTATTATTGATTTTCCCTGTACAATTGTTATTTATGTGAATTAGATAGAATTTTTTGTAGTCTTTTGAATGATGTATCACAAGTAGGGGTTTGCTACTCAAACTTTTTTAGTTGGAGTAGGTGGGGTCTAGGGAGTTGACGAAGGTGAGGTTTTTTGTCATTTTAGTTCCCCCTTCCTATCGCAGAAACGATTTTAAACATTTTTTGATATCATCTTTCGTTTGTGAGATATACCCCATTGTAAGTTTACAAATTGTCAATGTGCCAAATTGTAAAAAAATAATCCAGCAGACTACTGCAAGGGTCGATATTTTTTATATTCTAGCCCAAGAAATTTTACTTAACATTAATGGCTGACCTCGTATAAACTGTTTACTGTATGTCCTTCAACTTTTTAATGTCTTTATTTATTTATTTATTTACCTGCTACTATGATTTTGGCTTTAGGAGCAAACCTCCTCAACTCTGGTGCCCATTTTAGAAACACATTTTCATAAGAAGTCCTTTCATTAACTGCATACGTTACAATAAATACGTCAACCTAAAATATTAAAAAAATGATTATTTAAAATTGCCTTATTAATTAGAAATAGAAGACAATACACGTGTTCCTTAAAAAATGTAATTAGAACTTTCGTAATCCAGAGGGGCTCTTGTTCCCTTTTGCAAAAAAGAGAATACTGTCGTATAGAAGATAGTTCATCAAATAAACCACGCTACCTATTAATACAAGTAAGTGTGGTCAGGTTTACTATCAGAATGTGCGGGTCCTCAGGACCAAGACAGATACTTTTTATGCCAACTTGTTTTTGAGGACTATGAAATAATTGCTCTGATCGATATAAAGTGAATAGAAAGGATATAAATACATTAGCCTGACGAGAAGGTGGTGTTTTAATAATAATATTCCCTATAAAGTATTAGATAGCAAAGATTGTGATTTAGAGTGTATATTTGTCAAGCTAAAATTTATAAAATTGTTAGTTATTGTATCGGCTGTATATTTTCATGTTTATATGATTTTAACGTTTATTTTAAGCAGTTCGAGAGTCTTTTAACAAACGAGAAGACCAAAGTTTTAATTGTGGGAGATTTCAATCATTCGTTCTTAAATATCTGCTATGCTATGATGATAAAAATAGTGCACTAGGAGTCTTTCTTAATTTACATAATTCTGTGAACTATAACAATGCATCGAAATTTTCAATCTTATTTACGTCAAAACAATTAATAATAGTGTTTATTTTAACAAGGAAACATTGATTTATCCTCTTAATTAAACACTTAGAAATTTCCCGCCTAAATTTACCTTATAAAATAACTACATGTTGTTACAATGATGCCAAATATTTTTAAATAATTAATTTAAAAACTTAAGAAATATCGAACTTCAAACAAAAGATGAATACAAAGCATATCAGAAAAACATTGAGAACAATCTAAACTCTGACCCTACATCATTCAGGCAATTGTTACGTACCAAGTCTAAAAAAAACTGGATACCGTTGGAAATAAAAAATAGGGATAACTTATATTCAAATTTAAAAGACATTGCCAATGCTGTTGCTCAACATTTTCAGTCTGTGTGTGAAAAACTTATGAACGTAAATATTGGCACTCCCAATTTTAGTAGTACCTCCTTTGAATTCTCTACAATAACAAATAATTATTTAATAAATAGTATAAAGAAACTAACCAAAAATCCACTGTAGTCTAGTTAACAAGTGTTTTTTGGGCCAAACTTTTTTTCTCCGCCTTTAAAAAATCTGATTGAAGTGTCATTTGATTTGGAATAGCGTGTAGATGATTGTTGAAAAAATTCAAGAGCCGCTTGCCAAAATTGCAAAAGTTATAAACAATTACTGAAAAAAAAATTGGGTTTAGATTTTTGAAAATATCTCAAAAACCATTTGACATTTTTTAAATTTGAAAAAACAATAAAAAAAAAGGAACAAATTTCCCCAAAAAAAGATTTATCACCCGGAACTGTAGGACTAATATTTATAATTTTCCCACAGGGTTGAAAATACGGCAGAAAACTGAGACTATGGTTTGCGTAAGCTTCGCCCACAGTGGACCTTTAATTAATGAATATTATTTAAACTCATTAAATATGAAAGTTACAAATTGAAAAAATTCAAGCATCTACCGGATAGATGAATGAATAATAATCCTACGTAATGAAAGAAAAACAACCATGTATTATTTTTTGAGAGAGAAAATTATTTATATTTTTTATCAAGTTTTATAATTACCTTTAGCTGTAACTCTACCATTCTCACCTTGTTTTTCGTCATTTAAATTAATATAACTTATAAACTAATTAAAATACGATGAAAAAACTTATTCGTTAATAATTAAAGAACAAATTAAGCCCAAAATGTAATTGTTTATAACAAATTGTTTATTAAATAGACAATGAAAATTTAAATAAAAACAATTTTTTTTAGTTATCAAAGTGCAAGATAAATTATTATAAAAAAAATGGTTCCTTAATAATAATTACAAGTGGTAAAAAGAATTGTTAATCAACAAATCCGTTTTTATGGAATAAAAAATTTCTTTAAGGAACGATTTTTGTTTAAATCATAATTTATATTAAATATTACGTTTCCAAAAAAAAAACATTAAATTATCTTATAAACAACGCATTTGTTTATAACAATTTTTTAAGCAATAGGAAATAAAAAATTTTAAAAATCATTTTCATGTGGATTCTGATGATAAATTAACGGATCAATAGAAATATAAAAAAAATATTTCAATAATTAATCATGCTTTTTAATTTTTAACCTAAGTAAATTGTTAATAACAAAGTGAAAAATAACAAAGTTTTAATTTTTCCAACGGAAATCTCTTATGAGACCGTTCAAAAATTGCTCCAAAAAAGAAAAAAAAATCTCCGGTTTGTTATTTAACAAATATCGTACTTGCAATGTTAATGTTCAAATAGGAAAAAAGTGTTAATTAACTAATGCATAATTAATAGAAAAATAGCGCTAAAAATTGTTGACCGTGAATTATTGTTCATCCGTCTATCCAGTAGATTAGTAGATGCTTGAATTTTGTAAATGTGTAATTTTCATATTTAATAAGTTTAAATAATATTTAGTCATTAAAAGTTCATAGTAGGCGAATCTTACGCAAACCAAAGTTTCCGTTTTCGGCCGTATTTTCAACCCTCTGGGAAAATTATAAATATTGGTCCTACAGATCAAATTTGGAAAATGTCAAATAGTTTTTGAGATATTTTAATTGTTTATAACGTTTGCAATTTTTACAAGCGGCTCTTGAATTTTTTTAAAAATCATCTACAGGCTATTCCGAATCGAATGATACCTCGTTCATATTTTTCGGAGGCGGAGAAAAAAGTTTGACCCAAAAAGCACTTGTTAACTAGACTACTGGCCCTGATAATATCATAGCATACATACACTCACCGACTTAAAATTCGATCCATTCAAAATAATGATTTATTTAAAAATGCTCTAACTTTCAAATGCGGAGGCTGATTTATTTGAATTTTTTAGTATCTTTTAGATAAAATACTGTAGTTTTAAGATTATTATTCGGACATCTCAAAGTAATTTAGTACTCGCTGCATATACAGGAGAGAAGTGAAAACAATTTTTTCCTCTACTTTTGACACACCCTGTAGGTTAATTCTGCTAGTAGATCTGCACACAATTAACTTTATCAAGAAGACTGATTTGTTTCCGACACTTTCTTTTTTATTTATATATCTTAATTTGTTTGTGAAATGTGACAGTTTGAAGAAAATGCTACATTTTAGAAACGGTCATAATTTAAATTGACGGTAGAGAATAAACTACAAAATAGGTAGAGTGCTGTGGCCAACTCACAACATGACAACTGTCAAATATTCAAATATTACTTGACAATTGCAGTTTAATTATTAGCAAAACAAATATTCATTATCAGAATAACATCATGGTTTTAACGCCTGCTGATGCAGCACGAGTAGTTGCTCTGGTACAATACAGTATTATGCTTCTAGAATATTGGATGTTGTAGCGTCCAGAGAGCTGTACAACGTTTCAATGAAACTGGTAGTTTTTCGAGACGAGGAGGATCTGGAAGAGGATCTACAAATGTTCGAGTTGATGGTTTTGTAACATTAAATATTTTGCGAGAAAGAAATACTACTGATGTAATAGCTCGAAATCATTTAGAAGAAGTACGTGAAGTAGCTGTTAACGAAATAACGATTCGAAGGCTTTTACGAGAACATGGATTACGCTCCAGAAGACCTGCAACTAGTCCGGAGTTACTTAGGAATCGCAGAACAGCACGTCTTCGATTTTCCAGGGAGCATCAACATTGGAATGTCGATAACTGGAGTAAGATTTTATTTTATGACGAGTCAAGATTTTGTTTACGTTCTCCTGATGGCCGTGAAAGAATATACCGAAAAAGAGGCGAAAGGTTTGACCAAGCAAATTTATCCACAAGACTCAGTTATGGAGGAGGATCGGTAGTACTTTGGAGCGGCATAAGCATGGAAGCTCATACTGATTTAGTCATTGTAAGCGGCGGAGCAATGACAGCTAACCGATATATTCATGATGTGCTAGATCCACATGTAATTATTCCATTTGCACCGTTTATAGGAAACGAATTCATGTTTATGCATGATAACGCTCGACCACATATTGCGAGGATTGTATCTCAATATTTGGACGAAACAGAATTCAAAGGATGAACTGGCTCACGTAGCCCAAACCTCAATCCAATTAAACACTTTGGGACATGATGGTCAGACGAATTCATAACCGAGTTCCTTCTCCAAGTAATTTAAATTTTTTAAGAGATGCTTTGGTCCAAGAATAGGATCAGATTGACCAGATGGAGATTCGACATCTAATAGAGGGTATTCCACGACGCATTGAGGCAGTTATTTGCGCTCGTGGTGCAAATACCCGTTATTGATTTGTTATAATTATTAGTTTATTTGTTGTTTGATTTGTTTATAAAATTATGTATTACTCTGCTAAAACTGAATAAAAAAAATTAAGAATGTTGCATTTTCTTTAAACCGTCACATTTCACAAAAAAATTAAGATATCGGGGTAAATAAAGAAACAAAATGTTTTAAACAAATCAGTCTTCTTGATAAAGTTAATGATGTGTGTATCTACTAGCAAAATTAACCTACAGGGTGTGTCAAAAGTAGAGGAAAAAATTGTTTTCTTTTCCCCCCTGTATATCTGGCGAGTACTAAATTGATTTTTAGATGTCCGAATAATAATTTTTAAACTGCAGTATTTTATCTAAAAGTTGCTAAAAACTTCAATTAAATCAGCCTCCGCATTTGAAAGTTAGAGCATTTTTAAATAAATCATTATTTTAAATGGATCGAATTTTAAGTCGGTGAGTGTATATAAAGGTATAGCATATATAAAGATATATCGTTAAAATATATTTTCTATAATTCTATTAAAAATTAATATTTTCCTGATGACCTAAAAACAGCACGAAATGATGTTAGAAATTACAGTCCCATTAGCTTAATTAATGAAACAATATTATGTCAAATTTTTTAAAGCCTAAAATTTTTAAATTTCAACATGGATTTATAAAAGATAAATCCGTCCTAAAAAATCTTCATAAATTATTAGCTGAAGCAATATTAAATAAATATCAATTGGACGTTATTTAAACGGATTGTGAGAAAGCATTCAACAAGGTTAATTACGAATTGTTACTTAGTAAAGTCGTGGAGCTGGGCATCATCGAAGATGTTTATCATTTTATCAATCATACATTTCAAATAGAGTTTAATGAATTAAAGTAGGCATGAGTGAATCAGAACCCGTCATTACAACTTTAGACATCCCACAGGGCAGCAATTTAAGGCCTTTGCATTTTTTTATGTTTTTCTCATTGCTAAACTGCCTCTGTAACTCCACAGGACTACTTTTTGCAGATGATTTTAAACTTTGCAGAGTTGTCAAGAAAAACCAATTGTGATTTGCTTCAGCTAGACTTTAACAATGTAAGTAAATGGTTTGCAGACTATAAATTGGTACTTATTATAAAAAAATGTACAGTTGTAAGATTTACAAAAAAACACAACCCAATCATAAATAAAATTACAAGACCTGTGATGTCACACTAAATTGCGAATATGTCTAATTTAAAGTTCAATAATAATTTTTTACACATAACTAGAAAAGCAATAAAAGCTCTGGGTTAGACATACAAAACATTTTAAAATTTCGACCAAAATCAGATTATATATTGCGTTAGTAAGACCCCATCTAGAATATGCTTAGGGATGCTCTTGGAAGCCACATATATTGATTATATTGAAAAAGTACAAAAAAACTTTTTACGATACCTTTATGTCATAAAAAACAACTAATACCCCTTATAAGACCTCGTATCAAACTATGCTCGATAGTTTTAAGGTTAAATCTCTTTTACAAAGAAGAAAACAACAGGCTGTGATATATTTGTACTTTATTTTAAATAATTTTAAGTAACTACAACAAATATTGTGATTTGATTAACTATATAAATTTTAATGTAAGGTAAGCTGGGGTAAATGCAACAGGTTTTTCGAATAGTTACATTTCATAGGTATCTTAAAAATATTGAACATTAAGGATAAAAAAATCTGTCAATTTTTCTTTGTTAAGTATAACTATCTCTAAATGTATATTTATTTAATGTGTCTCTGTTTTGTTTTTAGAATATATTTTTTAAAATGATGTCAACATGTTAAATTTGCCCCTGAAAAAGGGGAAAATGTAACACTTGAGCTTCTGGTGCGGATAAACATTGTATTATTGGCAGAAAGGGGTAAATGTAAAATATATATACATTACGAAAAATTTTGTGCAAAAATTATTTAAATCGGTTAATATTTAAGAAAGTAACAAGCTTTTCAAAAAATACGTGTAAAGTAGTGGCATTTATTAAAATACAAAATTAGAGAGAAAAATCGAAAATTTATTACATAAACGACAGAAAAACCTCCAACAAACTCTTTTCCTTAAAAAATAGCAACCCTTCCAAATGCAACCTAAAAAGCTGATTTATTGAACATTTTAGCAGCTAAACCTCAAGTAAAACACCGAAATATTTATAAAATTAACATATACATCTTGAGGTGTTAACTAAAATTTTGACATGAAATAACTAAGTAGTTTAAATTGTTAGACATAAAACAAAAAGGTTACTCTATTCAAATTACAGAAGATGTTTACAAGAAACATTTTAAATAATAAATCCATCAAACAAGATATTAAAATACAATAACCCTATCTTCGAGTGGTTCTGGCAAAGTCAAAACAACATCTGCTTCGATTACCGTGTCAATATCGTCTGCAGGAGGCCAATTAAATCTTATCGTATCTTGTCGTTTAGTTGAAATTCGTTTTAAAAATTTTACTTCCCATTCGTCTTCCACACGTCGTGTTACACGGCCAACATAGTGCTTCGTGTTCTTCCTTGACGTGTACTTTACTAAAACCCATATCATTTCCTTTACTTCCTGATTTAATTCGTTTTCTTCCCTGTCCTGAATTTCCCTTTCTTGAACTATATTCTGTAGAAACTCATTATGTGATTCTCTGTATTCTATTTCTTCCTCTTCGTCTTCATCATTGCTACTAATATCTTCCTTTTTGCGGCAAATAGCATGTCTCCTTTTACCAAGATGATGGCTTTTACTAATGAGTTTCTTAGCTAGGTCCAAACAGATATTTTTAATGTTAGCCTAAGAAAGTTGAGGACTGTACTAAATTAAGTTCATTAGATATTAAGGTTTGTTTTGTTTTTGTTTTTAAATTTATTGTTACTTAAATCTACATGTAACTACAAATAATTTTTTACAATGTTTGTAAAGTATCCAATAAAAAAATAAATAAAATATATAAAAAATATTGTTAGTATACATTCATAAAAGCATGGTAAATAAAAAATCTGTAACTGTTGGATGAATATTGACGCCACTTGATTCGTTAGTCACTTTTAATTTAGATTTAAATATATGTGACGTCAGCATTTAGCGTACCGCCGCCATCTTGATTTTTTTTAACTGGCAACGTAGGTCGAGTAATATATTAGAGAAACACTGATTTTTTTATTCTAAAAAGCAATAATACATCCTAAATTACCTTGTTGCCAGATGTTTTCGCTACCCTGTATGTATAGGATCAGAAAAAATAATATAATTCAGACCCATTCATCACTCTTCAATTTCATAATTATACATTCATTTGTTTTAAAGAAAATATCTGGTTGCAGACTTTTTTATAAATAAATAAATAAGAAATTAAAATATTAATAACGGTTCTCTCTTGTAACTGAACATTAATTGTGTTGTATTTAATATTCATGGGTAGGTATTCTTAAATTATAAATAATAACTCGTTCAATATTGTATCTAATATTACTTACATCTTTATAAGCTAGTCTCCTAAGTTTATCAAAATCTTCTTGTCCAGCTGTATCTGACAATATTATTTTGTATTCTACACCATTGATGGGAATATTCATAGAGTAAACATCAAACCTACAAAAAACAAATTTTAATTTAATTATAGCACGATTTTTTAAAATTAATAATTAATAGAAAAACATTTTTAAAGTTAAAAAAATAATATACTAAATGTTGCAGTCTAGAAATTAATAAAATATTAGAGAATAAAACAAAAACATTTATTTCTGTTGAAAAAGACAAAATAAAAAATATTTTATAGATGGATATCAAAATAAAAGCAATAAAACAAAATAAAGTATACAAAGACAGTCAAAAAGAAATACAAATATTTAAGGAGTTGTTAAAGCAATGATAATTAAGTCAGTTTGCTATATAAACTAATGTCTAAAACTTTGAAATAAGATAATGCAATTCAAAAGGGAATGGAAAATCCAGTTTTTCGGTCCTAAATTCCAACCGGAGCAAACTATCACTCCAAATTTCTTGGATAACTTAAAAGTTTTATATCATTCGATTTAATAATGAAACAGTAAAAAAATAATTTTTAGAGGGGTAGTTTAAGGGGGTGGGTTTAAAAAAATCTATTATTTTTCAACAAAATGTTATTCTTATTTAAACGCGATAGAGTAAACCATTTTTAAATAATTTTACTTTTAAAATGTAACTGCACAAAATGTGTTATTTATAATATTCTTAATAACATTAAAAGTTTGCCTTATATTGTTTCAATATAAACTATCAAATAAGATAAGGAAAGTTAGAACTTATTTGTGTCATCAATAAATTGGTCTACCCCATCAAATAATGTAATGCAAAAAGTCAGAAAAAAGAAAAGGTTCATTTAGTCAACAAAAAAAATCAAATCATCTCCGACCCACAAGAAATTTCTGAAACATTTGCTAACATTATTGATGAACTAAATTCCAGTAACACAAATTATGTTAAATCATTTCTAAGACAAAACCAAACGTCAAAAGCAAGAAATGTGACCATAAATGATTCCATTGACTACCTTAATATTCCAATAACATGACAAGAACTAAAATAAAGCCTAGTCACATTAAAAAAATCTTTTGCTACACCTGACGACATTAACTTAACCTTCCTTGCACACCTTCCCGTCAAAGCCAAATTCATTCTCCTAGATATCTTCAACAACATTTTTTTAACTTAAACTTTTCCTTTCCTTTGGTCGCAAGCAATAGTAATACCTCTTCTAAAGAATAATAAGAAAAAACATTTACCAAGCTTCCTATCGCCCCATCTTAATAACATGCAACATGTGCAAATTGCTGGAAAAACTCTTCAATAACCGACTTCGACAGCGGCATATCAACAAATGACAATATTGTATCACTCGAAAAGGAACTACATGAAGCTTTTGTTTGTAGCCAAAAACTAGTAGCTGTATTTTTTGACCTATATGGTTACCCTAATTAGCAAACTTGTAGAGAAAAAAAACCTGTATTACATGTTTCAAACCTCCTAAATCCAGAATAATATTATTTTGTATTCTGGATTCTAGATTCTGAATTTATAAGGTTTGAAACATGTAATAGAGGTTTTTCTCCTCTACAAATTGGTATGAAAATGTGAATTTGGCAAAAAGTGGAGTTAAGAGGTTTGCTAATTAGGGTAACGATATGAGGCATCTGACACCACCTGGAAACATTATATAATTAACGCACGGGAAATATATGAAATTCAATGACTTTTATAATGAATTTTCTAAAGAACAGAATAATACCGGTCAGAGCAAATGGATACAGATCTTCCAAAAGAAAACTTATATTATTCCCAAAGAGCAATAATAAGCCCAACACTCTTCTTAGTGGCAATAATGATCTTATAGCCTACCAGTGGAAGCAAATCTTTTCGCCGATGACTTGGTGTTACATACTAGAAGTAAAAATATAACACTATATTCAATAAACTTACATGTTAAACAACACTTTTTAAATCTCGCGTTAGTCGTACTATTTATAAAGGCATGTTGGAGGTATATGACATTATGTCATAGAAAATTTGTTAGCGGAACATAGAAATATGTTACAAACCCAAAAAATTCATTTATATTATAAAAAAAAGTTTTAATAGATTATTGGTAAACAATATATATATTGTGACAATAATTGGAGCTAACTGCATTTCTTGTCGAAATATAATTAATATGTGTAAATATGGAACACAATAAGTATCCAAACAACATTCAGTCTGCTCTATTAAAAAGTTGATTAGAATGACACAGTGCAGTTTACCTCCGAGGTACTGAAATACCTATTGTAGTAGTTTGTTCAACAAGAGTGGATATGATGGCCATATCGTACGAAGACGAAATTTGATCACGACGCCGTAGGCGATGTGGACAATCCACTCGAGTTGTACAGTATATTTTTTCGTTAAATTTACAAATAAAAAAAATATTTTATGCTATTAAGACAAAATAACTAATTTTAGAATAATTTGTGACTTATAATAATTTTTAAAATAAAATAAACGAAAAAGAAGAAGCTCATTTAATTTTTCCCCATCCGAGAATCGAACTCCAGTCTTCTAAGTAGAAGGATATAACGCTGACCACAGGAGCATATAGTTTTATTTAAAATAACAAATTATTTATAATTATAGACGAAATAAAAACAGAAATGCTATTATTTATCGATTCTACACACGATCAAATTATGTATTTGTTGAATTTCATTTTTTTGCAGTGTTCTCACTACCTAGAATGGATATAAAATATGTTCGTTTAGTTGAAGGCTAATGAGCTAATATCCATGTGGGTGTAGAAAAAATAATTTTCAAAACTTTTACTTTATCATCCTTTTATTGTACTATTTTTGAAGTCTATTGTGTTATTGTTTTGGCCTTGATTATATTATTATTATCCCCTTTACACAGTAGTATGTGAAGAGTATTATAGGTTTAATTTGTCCGTCTGTCCGATGTCACGTTTTTTTGTCCGCACGATATAACAAAAACGAAAAATAATATCAACTTGAAAATTTTAATCAAAAATCATTCATTATAAGAGGACAAAGCCTTTTTATTTTGAATCTGATTAAAAACAGGAGGTTAAGATGGGTGGGAATTTAAAAAGAAAAATTCCAAATTAAAAACGAAAAGCGATACCAACATGAAATTTTTAGTAAAAATTATAGTAAAAATGAGGCTCTATAAGAATAAAAAGACTATTGGTTATAAAAAAATGAAAAATGATATTACCTTGAAATTTTTAGCATACATCAAGCTCTACAAGAAGAAATCCTTCGATTTTGAAAATAAATCTTATTAAAAATGTAGGGTTGAAATAAAAAAATAATCATAAATCAAAACTTCAAAACTGAAAAGCGATATCAACATGAAATCAATCTCTATAAGGAGATGAGGCCCATTGATTGTAAAAAAAACTTGGGAGTTAATGGGGGATTCAAAATGGGGGATTAAGGGATCTATTAAACTGTGAAGAGTATAAGTGTATCTGTGTAATATTATGAACTTATAAATTAAACAATTTAGTTCACTTGTTTTATTTGCCAATAAAAGGTATTAAAAAAATATATTATTTTATTTGACATGCGTGATAAATTGTGAAAATGATTAAATTTATAGCCAGAATATCTGATTGCAAGATTGTATAAATATTTTTTTATATTAAGTATATCTACTACTGCTTATTTAGGACGGCAGTACTTGCCTAAATAATTTTTCGATTTAGAAAACAGCCAATAAAAAAGGTAGTTTTAAATTGCGAAACAAATATTCCTTAAAAAATAACACAAGAACGTGTACTAGGATATATATTTCTCAGTTTTGGAAGTGATCATATCATATGAGATATACAATGGATGACAAGTAGTGCACTGTTCACCTGGGAAACATGGTAAACAAAGAGCTTTAAGATAAACCCTGGTGGTAAGTATATCTCTCAGTACCCTATAAAAAGTTAAAAAAGAAACCAAATTGTTGCGATGTCTTGGGGAAAAGTTTGTTTGGCATTTTATGGAAACTTAGAGTGTTGAAATATTTTTATATGTTGGTTTATTCAAAAAAGATATAGAGAAAATGATTTGATGGTTTTTAGAATAGAAGTATAGAAATCCATATAAAATTTTTGAAAAGAAACAAGCTAAAAATATATTTTATTTTCTAAATCCGATCTAAACATTGGAGTAGTATATGTAGAGAAGTAGAGGAAGCCGAAAAATAAAGCAGGAGAGCCAATAAAGTCGTAGATGTAGAAAAAAGCGTAACATATTTGCAAATTTAAAAAGGGCGCAGCTAAAGAACAACAAATTGGAAAATTGAATAAAAAAGAAGTGTATGATAAAAAAGAATGTTTACAATTTGAATTCTTCCCATTGTTTTTATTTATTATTATCATTATATTCGTAATAATATGCTCACAGAATAGATGTCAATTTTACTCTTAATAATTATACTGCCCAATTTATAAACGATCTCAAAGCGTGCCCTTTTGTTACAGATGGGTAAATTTAAACAAATATCTACCTAATAGAGTTAGGCGATATTTCATATATATTTATAAAAAAATGTATGTCAAAAATTTATATTTATAAATACTTTTTTCATAGTCTTCTATAGATTTCACAAAAAGTTTTTCAGAAAAGTATTAACAATTAAATGTTTAATAATTTGAGGTAACATAACCTTATTTAATTGGATTTTACACTTAGATTATACAAACCATAAACAGAACATAAGACACTCCGCATAATGCCACTTAGAAATCTCAGTTGAGGACGTCACATGTCAGAGTGTTGTTCGTCCAAATTTAAGGTGTCGACGAGAATTAATTTGGTATTTCAGTGACTTAAATTTTGGAAATTAACATTGAAAATGACAAGATTGTTCTAACAATCAGTATTTAAAATAAAAGTGCGAAGTTAGACACCGATAAAAGAAACTTACCTTTATTTCGGTAAGTTATTTAATGTTTAGAGATTCTTTCGACGGCCATATTTGTTTATTTGAAAATAAACAGAACCGGAATTTTTCATTGGTACATAATATTGCAAGTTGCAAATTGGATAACGGTTTTTATTGTCAACTGTTTACTATTTCTTGTTTTATCAAAAATCTTTTATTCATAAAATGGAAAGAGTAACATACAATGGAATACAAAAATATCAATTTCATTACCAATTTATTCATACAACACGTTTTAATGCTTTTCAAAACTGTTTACCCAGTATTTCTTTGTAATAATAATTAATTATTATTTTTTTAAGGTTATTATTTATGAGTTAATTTTCTCTAATATAAATATTCACTTTATACAAGGTGAACCAACGAAAACTTGACATGGGGGTTTTGGGTATTAATATCGTGGTTGTTAAAAAACTTTCAGACAGATCGATTTTAGTTTAAAGGAGGACATATCATAATAACTGCCATACGTCATTTCCCCTTCACTCCATTACTCTAATCAACGCAATTTATATAGGAGAAGTGCCAAGTATGACATGTCATTGAAAATATAATTTTAAGAAGAATTCGGCAATATGACTATTCATTGCATTACTTTTAATTTACCGCCTGCTAGCGGGATACAAAACTGTTATCTATTGTACATTTTTTATTTTGGTTGATTACGATGAATTTCGTATTTCTTAACGTTTCAACTCTGCAATTATTTAAGTTCTTGATTTATATAATTTCGTTTTGTTATGGTGTTTATACGGCACGAACGCATAAACAGACAACGCTGATATTATTTGTTTCCTGCTCGTGCTAATGCTAACTCTCTTCTTTTCACATGTACTTGTGTTGGAAACATATTGGAAAACGTTCAATAGTCTATTCTGTAAACTGGATAATCACGTAAAGACCATTACGCCTTAAGGTGCCACTATGGTAATTTAAAAGTTAGTAGGATTCATTTACATCACAGTTCATGATTCATTACACAATAAATAGCTATTTGTATTACTAGGGAGGAAAGTGCCACTTTTCCTCCAGCAGGATGAAGTTTACTGCCCGACGCGAAGCGGAGGGCAGTAAACATCCAAGGGAGGAAAAGGCACTTTACTCCCAAGTAATACATATGATTTTTCCGCCTCCCTCAAATAACAAGTCATTTTTAAATAATTTATTTATGAAACTAATAAACAAAATTTATTAAAGAACTAAAATTATGAAGTAGGTATAGTATAAATTATAGGCATGTTATTTTCATTCTTGCATCCTACATATTTTTAATTTGTGGTAGAGTAAGTACGAATATGCTTTTCTTCTGCCCATTGCTTGAAATGTAAATATCGTTTTTCGTATTTTTCTTTAGAGATTGAACTGTTGCATTAACCTGTTCCAAAATATCCGGTGGTGTATTATTTATATCTTTAAATTCGCGTGAATCACTCATTTTTTAAATATTATTTTATATTTTGTAGATATAATATAGCGTAACACACATTAAAACTGATCTGTCAATCGACCATAGCATGCTATAATATTTCTGTCCTAAATTCGAAAATCGGATGAATCTATGAATTGAAGTCAAATTATTAATGTAAAAATCGTTAAATTAAAATAACAATTTACGCTATAAATAAACGGTAAAATTCATACTTATATAATAGAATATAGTTTAGGTCGTCAATGCCGTATAAGCTATTTCATTTATGACATACCATGACGTCACTTTTACTTTTCCTCCCTAGGGAGTAAAAGAACTTTTCCTCCCTAGGGAGGAAAAGTATGACTTTGCTCCCTGCAATGAGGTCAGGAAATGTATACTTTGGATAGAGGTACACGGAAAAAAATGTGACTAGAAAATTTTACTACAATGTTGTAGTAGTAGACTTGTAGAAAAATACTTAACAATTTGTAGAAAATTTTACTACAATTTATAGTTAAAAACTATTCATTATTGTAGAAATTGAATTGTCGAATAAAATGCTACAACAATAGGAAAGAATTCCACAATGTTTAGTATATTTTACTATTGTTTGTAGAAGTAGAAATTTATTACAATTATCGTAATTACTACTACTAACTTCTGTAAAAATTTGTACAAATATTAATAATTATCTCTACAAAAAATAGTAATTTTCTCTACTAAAAATAGTAATAATTTACATCCCTTCTTATAAAAAATATTCAATTTTGTTCAAAAATATTCTATAATATTGTAGAAATTCTAAGTCATGTGAACAAAACAGAATTCTGCTATTGGCCAACGTTTTCTGACGTCGATCTTAAATGGCCAGACAGCAGTAGCCGTTCGCCATGTTCACATAACAAAGCATGGTACATATAGGAGTACCTATAACACATTATTATATTATAAGCACCGATGCGTTTGAGAAAATTTTAATAATAAATTCTATTGGTGGTAAGTACATTTATTGTTGTTTCTGAATAATTTACCTTTAGATAACTAATTTATTTTACCTTAGTAGTTTATTTAAAAAAAAAATAGTTGTGGCCAACGATCGAATGTTGTGCCCAATGATCGAGTTTTGTGCCAAATTCAATGATGTTTTTTTGTCTTAATTGTGACATACCTACTTTCTCATTTTTGTTAGTTATCTGACTTAGTTATTTAATATCCAAATCAGTGTAAAGGTGATAAATATCCCCGTTTTAAGGGTATGAACAGTTCAATTGTTATTAATTTTTATTTCATATTTTTCAGGTGCAGAAAAGCCAACTGAGACTGAGGGTGCTATTATTACTGTTATTTATTACATAATGTAATTAAGACTTTGTATCTTTTATATTAAAACAATAAATTGAATATTTTATTAAGGAACATTTTTTCTAGGTTATAATTATAATAATTATGGAATACTACTATTAAAAATTACTACAATTTGTATGAATTTTTACTATTTATTGTGTAAAATTTTCGTATTTATTTTCATAAAACGCAATACATTTTTAATATAAATTCATACAATGAATAGCAAAATTTATAACAATTTGTAGAACAATTCTTATGATGCATTTGGATATTTTTACTAAATATTGTAGATAATAACTCTACAATACATTCTCCACAAATATTTGAAAATTTTTACTACAAATTGTCCCTGTCCCTATATGTACTATTTATTGTAGAGAAAAAATCTATAATTGTAGAAATTTTTTCTACAATTTTTTTTCCGTGTAGGCGGAAAAAAATATTTGACAAAAGCAAGAACATGAGATCGATGTTTAATAAACTAATAATATTTAAAGGTCAATTGATATTTAAATTCTCTTTTTATTAGAGACATATTGCAATTTTCTACGTCGCCCACTAATAGTGACAACGTAATTAGGGGCAAAAAAGTTCCATGCTAAAATAAGACTTCCAAACCTGAAATTTTGACATTAAAGTCATTGTCCTTATACATATTTCCAACCTTATTTTAAAAATTTTATTACAGTTAATCTTTTTTGTTATCTAGAATAGTAAATAATATTGAAGATGCATTAGAAATTATTATTTTAGAAGATTAAGATGACGATGATCAATATATATAATATTAAAAAACTTCGAACGGATACGAATGTCGGCTAGCGCACCTAAAAGCTATAAAGTACGCCACTATCTGCAGTCCTTAAGCATCCACAATAATTAAGGATAGGCACAATATTTAATAAAATCAGTTCTAGAACAGATGGCAAAATAAGAGCAGCGCTAATAGTAACTGACCTTAAGTAAACTTAACTCTCTATTGTTATTTTTGTTTGATTATACAGAATTAGTGTTTAGAGTGGTAGCGGATGATATCTACGTCATTATAGAAGATAATAAAAAAGTTATTTACTGTATACATTTTTCTTTTGGAAGAGTAGGCTTATATCAAATAAACTAAAATTATTATAACGAAAGAAGGTAACCCTTTTGTGATAAAATTAAATTATTTATTTAATTTTGGTGTGTTCGTAGAAACAAATCTTGTGGGCAATTAGAGCAGAAAGTCCTTTGGCAGTTTCGACAGATTGCCGTGCTCCGCTAATGCGTTGCTCGGCATCTTTCTATCTTAACTGATAAAGTTTTACTTTCTGCTCTTAATACGCCAATAGCTATTTTGTTACAATAATTTTATTAACCTTTCCTTAGCTACCAGCTCTCGTATACTAATAAAGTATTATTGCCCTCATCATAAATAAATCATCGTGCTAACAAATGAAGTCAAAAAATTTCTCATCTTTTAACAGTTTCCAAAATTAGGTACCACAATACAAATATTTAAGTCCGGCCCAGAACATCACACTACTCCTTCCACCCAGTTTTTCGGTTTTAACAAAATTCGCGCAGCGGCAAAAGCTTTCTATGTTACCTCTACCCTTTCAAACATTTTTGATTTTACAGTAGGAGTAACGGAATATAAATAATCACGATATCTCCCAACTCTACTTTCACTCTGAATTGACGTTAATATTTATATCTTTAAGAATGTATAATATTAAAAACTGCTCTATGATGAATTCTGTTAATAATCTATTAAGATGTTACAATGAAATATAAGTTGTAAATCTTGTAAAGAAGGTATATCACAAACTCAAACAGCTCAAAGGCTACAAATGAATCATTCTCCAGAATTTCAAATTTAAATCGGTACCAGGGTACTAATGACTTCACATCATTAACATCCTTGCCAAATCGATCTGCATCTACATTACGAAATATCTACAAATAAGAAATGAGATACAACAAGCTATGGGAACAAATAATATAAGCAGTAAAAGAGGCACAAGTAGCGTTGAAGAAGAAGATACATATGTCAGAGGACCAAAGTCGCTTTGCTACTTCCACGTTAAATAAGCAGAACGAATACACTTTAATCTACATCACTACTTGATGTATGTATATAGAAATGAGAATGAAAGGAGTGTTGTTCTATTCAGTGAAGAGACGCCTAATAACTTTAAAAGCTGGACGAAAACATAAATATTAACAGAGGCTTATTTATTATGCACTGGGTTGACATAAGTTTAGAATTATTTGATTTTATATTGTACCCAAAATTTTCGACATAAACTAATTAAAACAAAAAATGATCTTACACAGTAGGAACGTATCTGTCATCGAATTTCTTATCTTTATACACTATCAACATGCATGTCTTTCCAGTATCACCATCACCAACCACCGTTATTCTAATCGTATTTGCGGTAGACATTGTTTACTACTCTTCATTCTTTACTGTTATTGTTATTTCATTACTTTATTACATTTAGGAACAGTCAATAATTCACTTCAATAACAATATTTGCACACCTTTACCGTTTGCTCATGTAACTAAAATTTTTGGTCGGTTATTTTATCGTATGTCATTTTCTTATCATTTTATTGGGACAATATAGATAAGCGATAAGGAATTATTGAGAGAACCCGATGTAGACGCATTCTTGCGATGTATACACCGAACAAGCGATATTAAAAAATTACCAATGCAGAATGCACGGAACTATTCTGATTCATGTTCTATGTTCTTCTACAACGAAAGATATTTTTTGTTTAGTGTTTCAAATAATAACATTCCATTAGTCACCAGACACGACTACAATTATTCCACTATATTGGTAAACAAGCTTGTTTTTGGTTAATTAATTTTAGTCACCGAATTTTGTTTATATCTACCATATAGGTATGGTCTTGAAATATTTAAAGTTAGATTATATATGCTAGAGTAGTTTGAAATTAAAAAAAAATATAAATGAAATGAAATCATCCTGATAGTTCGGTTTTTTATACACGCAGTATAATAATAAAATCGTAAGTTTTAGAGTTATTTCAAAAAAAACTAAAAACGGTTTATTTTTGTTTTTTAAATAGCCGTTAGTGTGATAGTACTACATTCTTAGGACAATTTTTAATAAAAAATATTTTTGTAGAAAAAAATCCAAATTGTATTTTGTTTTCGAGTTACCAACCGTAACATCTTGGATATGTACTACGCTGATTCAATACCGCAAATTTTTTTTCGTGCTTAATATCAATTTTATGTACTTACAATTGAAACTCAAAGTTTCACCTTTTAAAATGCATGTAATTTTTTTTTTTTAATTTCTAATGTTTACCCACCTTTTATAATATTGCAAATCAGTTTAAAGGACCTTGTGCGGAAATTCACGCCCTTCGAAATTATATTCATTATGAGTGAGAAATCATAATAATTCTAAGAAAGTTTTTAGTGCAAGGAAATATAATGGTAATTAATAGAAAAAAATTAATCTAAACATTATGAGTTAGTATTTATCAATTTATTACGTTTTTAGGTATAAAAATGGCTGTAAATTCATTATTTATTGATCGGATAACTTTTTTTTTATAAGTCTGCCCTTTTTTTCTCCATACTTTTGGCGGTTTGCTCAAAAAAATTGGAAAACAGAATTTTTTTTCAAAAATTGTACTTTGACAACTCCTACTGTAGAACCAGTGCGAGTTACACAAAAAAAAACCCTAAAGCAATTTCGAAGAGCATGAAGGTCCATTAAACCAATTTGCATTATTGTTAAAGGTGGGTGAGCATTAGAAATTTAATAAAAAAATTCTTTACGTGTATTTTAAATGGTAAAACTTAAATTGAAATAGTAAGTACTTAAAATTAATATTAAGAGCTTAAACTTGGTGAGAATTTTTTTTTTATATGTAGATTAATATTTTGCTTGAGCACCGAAAAAAAAAAACTTTGCCGAAATGAATCATCCTAATATGTAGGTACATCATAATATTTTCACTTTTAGTATCACAAGAGCTTAAATTATTTCCAGAAATAATTTAAGCTTGCGTGGTATTGGGTAAGAAAATTTCACACCATTTCACACCATTATTTGGAAAAAAATTATTAATCCAACCTGACATTTTAAATTAATTTCACTGCTTGTCAAGTTGGCCAGGGTATTGTTGTTTTTGACATGTGTTGATTTTGTCATTTTTGTTTAACCGATTTTGTCACAAAGCTTCATAGCCCAAGAGCCCACTGCAAATTTTTACCGTCATCTGATAACGAAATGAAATATACCCCAAAATCATGGAAAAACCTTGTACTTTACCAAATGGCACCTGTGCCAATCCCAATCCCAATCCTGAGCAAAGTTGCTTAAAAAAATTATTTTATATTAACAAAATCACATAAGGCGCTAATTTTGTTTGCCCTTAAAGTTTTCTAGAAAATAACTTTCAAATATATCTTGATATATATCGTTAAAGGGAAACATTTTCTTCCTCTTAACATCGCACAAAAACATCTATCCACGATTAGTAGATAAAAATCATTAAAAATATGAATCAATGTTTGCTGATTTAAAAATTTATTTGTATACCTATTGTTGTGATTCATTTTTACAGGTTGTCATAGAAACGACAAAAAGCTACTATGATTATGGTTTAAAATAATTGTCTAACAAGAGTTTATAATTATTATTGACTATCTCTGCAAATGGTTTATACAATGCCATCCTTCTTCCTTTCATACATAAACATGGTTTAAAAGGTAGGTAAATATATTAGTAATTCAGGTTTAAAAGCTAGGTTCACAATGAATTAGGATTGTAATTTTTAGGGAAAACACAATTGTCGCTGTCATGTCTTATGTGATTTTTTGAATATAAAATTTTTTTTTTAACCACTTTGCTCAGGATAGGGATTGGCACAGGTATAATTTGGTAAAGTACAAAGTTGTTACATGCCTTTGGAGCATATTTCATTTCGTTATCAGATGACGGTCGAAATTTGCAGTGGGCTCTCATACTATCATAGTTACTAGTTTAAAACGTCTGTACGTTGAGTTTAATAATTTTTTTTATGGCTTGGGCACTTGACTTTCAGCCAGTCGCGTAATATATTATATAAGTTTAAATTGCATTATCACCCTAAATACACACATTCAATCATACACACTTTTGTTCTAAGCAAGAAAAGAAGAAAAATATATAAAAGAAGATAAGGCAAGCAAGGAATAAACAAGAGAAAACATTTCTGCTTGTCTAGGGGCCCGTCAAACCTTTTTTTTTGACACACAAAACTAGGCCACGGTGACAATTGGGTTAGAACATAAGTTGCAAGACTAATATTAATTACAAATATACTTTACTTTTATACACAAATGTTATCGTAATTTTTTTTTTGATAAAGTGAGAGGAGATGGCAAATGTTAAATGAAGGAAATATATTATTTTTAATTAGATCTTGTAACAGATCTTGAGATTGTTGGGTATAGTTTGCACAACTAAAGAAAATATGATTAAGATCGCCTTTCTCTTGAGACATTATACATATCTCCGAATCTATAACATGGATTTTGAATACATGTGCTGTGTAACATGCATGTCCAAATTTCAATCTAATGATAGTTGTGATATACTTTCGAGGAAGTGAATAGTTTTTAAACCAATGCACATTCGACATTTTTGGTTGTATTTTTGAATATTGAGTTGTAGTGTTTTTGCAAAAGTATGTCCAAGATTTTCTCCACTTTTCCATTTGTCTTCAAAAGGTTTAATATTGGCCACTGGTTTTCTGTATAATTTTCTAGCTTGATTTCAGGGCGAGGAAGATGGTACGGTTTTGTTGAGCGAAAAAACAAAATTTGCCCAATTTTCTTTTGCTATAATTTTAAGTTTTTTCTTAGTTTTTGCCATTATGGCCTGACACTATATAATTTCCGAAATTTTCTTTTCTTTTATAAGTTGAAATCGATAATTTCCGTTCTTTAATTATTTTGTCACAATCCGCATTCCATCATGGTGGAGGGTTACGAAGTTTGCATGCGAACGGTTTATATTGTGGGATTGATATTTGTGCAGTATTGTTTATATTATTAATTAGGAATTAATATTATTCAGAAATACTTTCGATTTGATAACAATAATTTTCAAAAAAAAACGTCAATGGAGGCAGTATATAATGGCCAGTTGGCTTTTTTTATATTTCATTTGGTATTAGGGTTAATTTCTTCTCTTATCCTATTAGACAGAAGCTACATGTGGACAAGAAAATGATTTGATCCCAAAGTGTCTAGATAAACAGACCAATTAACTTTGTTGGCTATTTCCGGGGAACATAAAGTAATATCAACCATTGAAGCATTTTGATCAGGACGAGTTAAGATAAGTAGGTTGACCATTATTGACAATAGTAATATTTAGGACATATGTGGTTTAAATGAGTTGCAAGCCAACTGCATCATTAGTATGAGAGCCCCAAATTGAGTGATGGGCATTAAAATCCCCACCTACAATAACCGGGCCTTTAACTTGTGAAAACATGTTCACCCAATCATTCGCATTACTCCTAACTGTAGGAGGTCTATAAAGAGATAAAAAATTTAGATCCGAATTTGCATATTTAAATTTAATTCCACATACTTGTACATTTTGTAAGATATTATTTATTTTTATTTCACTAAGGGTCGATCTTTTTACCTCTGAGTAAAGTAACATGTAGGTTTACTTGACAAAATAACGAACAATAGCCCTATAGTTTAATCAGCAAGTAGTTACTTTCAACTTTACTCAGAGGTAAAAAGATTGGCCCTTAAGCTAATTGAATTATGGACTAAAATAGCTACACCTCCATAGCCATCTAGACTGTCATTTCTAACTTAATAAGTGTACAGCGAAATGTCGCGATTTGGTACAGAAAGTCAACACTAGATAACACCGGAAAATCAAAATCAAGTATATGAAAAGAGTTTGTTGAATTTTGTGACAAAAAGTTGTCTAATATTCATGAGTGTATGAGTGTAGTACAGCTGGATACTTTACTGGAGGACTATGAATTTAATATGAAAAAGAAAAATTTTGAAGATCATAAGGAAAGTGTGGTCAAAGTGATGTGGAACTCTACTGCTAAGCATTTACAAGAAATTTATTATGAAAAATATGCAATAAAATTTAATCCGTTTTCTGATCTGGAATTTGCAATCACTAGAGCTGCACGCCGATGCTAAGCGCAAAACATTGTATAGAGATCCACTAAGAGCCTTGACCAATACAAAAAAATTATTGAAATGTGGGATGAAAATACTGCAGATTGATTGCAGCATAAATTTCTTCACATAGTTTCACATGACTTGGCATGGAAAGGAGGGGAACGATATTCTGCATATATCCAATTCTTCAATGAAGAAACTGATAATTTCGGAAACCCAAAAGGTCGGATAGAGTATAATTTATTATTCTCTAAAACCACACATGGTGGTTCTAAAAAACTGTCGGATAGTAAATGGTTGATTACAAATTTCAACAATCCACAAATGTGTCTGAAAAGATTTTTCCTAAAACCAAACCCATACTATAGTCAACCCAATTGTTAAGAACATTGTATCTTCATGGTTTAAATCAGCAGCCTCTGATATAGAAATTTACACTAAAAAAGTTAAAATAACCAATCATTCTGCAAGAGGAACAGCTGTTTAGAATTTGGCCAAGGAAGGAGTTGCTGAACAACAGCTCATTAAAATTACTGAATACAGTAATAGTCAGTCAATCAAACCTTACTTATAATTGGACATTGAACATCATCATCAGATGCAAAATTAAATAAAGT